TTTACCAGTTAAAGAGTTCAGTTAATGTTGTACATTGAGGGTTGATAAATCATTGTATTGACCAAAAAATACAGCAATAATTTTTTTGAAATATGATTCAAAATTATAAACATTTATATGTAAAGTTGACATGATTGGGGCAGATAGTATGTGTGTAACTTATGTATTTTGACTGTCATCTTTTATAAGAATCTCACATGTAGAAGTGGAGGATTCCTGCTAAATGATTGTTGTGTCAGCTAGAACACACTGTAAGAATGACATGAATTTGAAGGATTATGTTATTGACTTGCCGAGATAAAATTAAGCAATACTTGTGGCATTGGTATAAACACAGATAAAAGTCTCTAACAGCCATGAGACAAGGTTTTGGAATCTGACCTTTCTAAACATTAATGCCAAATATTTGCTCCAATCAATTTGATTTAGAGACTTCTTGTTAAGTGTATTGAAGGCAGTAGAAATTTTTGCAATTTCCTGCCACAAATTTTGGGTACTGCATCAATATAATGTTTACTGTTCAGTTAGACTGGAAGCGGGTCAATGCATTTAGAGTATCGTATGAAATTTCTCTGCACAATTTACTAAAAAATGGAAAAATGTATGAATCACTGCAAAATGATTGTCTAGAAAAGTGAATTATCTTGAAATAAAACTAAAATTATTCGAGAAACTGGCAATAATTGAAGTTTCACCAGGAAGAGAAAACTTGATTAAAATCAGATTTTTGGACCCTGTTTCCATTGAATGACTTCCATTTTCAGAAAATGGAGGTCTCATTGATTTCCTTTGGCAATATGGGGAATTTTCAGTAGACTTCTATGTGACACCTTAGTAATGACGTGGGGCCTTGTTCAACATGTTAGCAAGGAAAGGAGGATGTGTTCCGACATTTGTACATGCCAGTTTATTGCCTCATACAGCTTTGATATCAAGCCACAAACTGTTCTTTTGTAAATGGGGAAAATGGGCAAAACAAATATATACAATTCTCAACAAATTTTCGAGACAAAAAAGTGATTAAATTATCCTGCTTGTCACTTTAACCATGTTCTTGTCAACTCAGGGAAGGGGACACAGTGTCTTTTAGTAGATGGTTCAGATTGACAGAAGAATATAAATTCTTGGATGTAAAAATAATTTTTATCTGTATATGAATCAAAATAATAATTACACAACATGTTAGCATCCTCTTAAAAACAAGGTTTGTAGGTCATTAGCCAGCAACTTGTATGCGATCCTCATCACATAAATATTTGTAGATGTATAATATATATAAAAAAAAAAAAACCCTTGTCAGAGGTAGTATCTTTTTCAAGATTTTTTATATCAGATGAGAATGAACCACAAAAACATTAGGGGGTCAGTCAGGTGCAATTAGTGACCAATGCTAGTCCATCTATATGACATTCCAGCTGTTGACATTTGTAATTGGACATCAGTTGGTGACAGCCCCACTGAATCAAGTTGTCCCAGTGTCCCCATCATGTGTCCATTACTAGATGGCTGTGACGTGACCTGGCTTTTATGTTCAAATGATACAGTAAAATACACTTATAAAGAAGTACCAGGGACCAACAATTCTGATTCCTTATAAATGTAATTCGTTATATCCATTAAGTTCATATATGTTTTAAAACTCAATTAAAATCACTTCACTGTGAGTCTGAATTCTTTATAAGCATGTTGACTATAATAACCTTACAGTTTTACTGTATATGGTATTTGAAGATCAACGAGGTTAATTAAGGTAAATTAATAATGATCTTTCAATTTTTTATTCTATCTTGGTCTATTATTTTGTCTGACAAAAATTTGACCTAAATAATGAGATATTTACAGATCATGTAAGCAGTTTTATTATATGAACAAATATTTTATCTTCAGGAGGTTTAAAATGTTTTTCCGCCATAACAATCACTGATGTGCAATTGCAATTAATTTTTTTTTTTAAGTTTTATTATAATGATGTATTTCAGATCCTGCATATATTTTATGACAATTATTTCATATTGCATTCATCTTGTTAAACAATAAATTCTTTATTTGTTTGTTAATGTGAGGATAACAGTTGTGATATTGCAGAAAAATATTCCTAACCTGCATAAGTTGGTTTTATTTATTTCTGCATGATCTATAAATAATTTGTATAAACATGATAGAGTGGGTGAAAGTACATAAAAAAAATTGTATTGTTTGTCCGGATGTTACATTGATGGAAGAGCCAACTTCTTAAGAAATCTTTTCAGCAGATGGCTTTAAAAAAAATGTTCTAATTTGAGTTTATTGTTAATGGTTTGCATAATAAATAAAGAAGAATAAATTCTGTGGATGTAATTATAAATATCAATCATGCTAACCCAGTGTCGACCAACCAGAATGTTAGAGAGAAATTGCAGGGGATAGGATACAGAAAATAAGTGTGTACAAGCCTCCAAAAAACAAGTCTTCCAAACCTTCTTAAAATGAATACTGGTATATAACTTCTACTTAAGTGCTTGGAATAAAATTTTTAATGAGTCCCTTTTTTAAATTTCCTTTTGCTGTATTAGCACTTGAAAGTTTCAAGTAATTACACCCTTCTTATAATATATACAAATGTACTTCATGTACGTAAAATATGTCTCTATTTCCTCAACTATTATAGTATTCTTGGTGAAGAAGCTTCTAAAATTCATCTAAATGCATGTGGAAGTCATTAATTTGTATTGAAAGTGTCACACATTTATCCACAAATCACAGATGAGATTATAAAATTCCCTCTCCTGCTAAATTGGTAACTGCAAAGGAATGTTTTTTGATTGATCTTAGCAAAATTATTTTTTTTTTTTGAAAAGAAATTTAAATCACTTCACATTAGATAATGAAAAATTGCTTATGACAGACTAAATATTCTTGGCACCAGAAGGGAAGACAAAATCAAAAACGGTAACTAGGGTATCACCTGACCTCTGACAGACCATGTTTTTGATCAACTGATATACCAGTGAAAAAAAAAATCTGAAAAAATTTCATTCAAACCAGCTGCCAAGGAATATGATTTTAAACAACCAGATCCGTAAAAAATGTACGGCATCTCAAAGCCATGAAAAGTCTGCTATACTGAAAAATCCCCAACCAGACTAGGTTTCTTTGTGCATTATGTGAGAAACAAGCACATTGTGCTGAACAGAAGGAAAGAATGTTTTAATTAGTTGTGAAATATTGCAGGTTCTTTAATTGCTTCCTTTTAATTATTCTGGATAGGACTTCTGTAACACTTGACCTTGAATATTTGGGTAAGTTGCACTTGCTCAGACGTTGCAGAATTCTGTAAATATAATCTTAAAATGTCTTCCACTCTGTAGCATCAGTTAGCATTGCCAGCAGCTGAGGCAGACAGCTTTTAAGCTGGTCATGTATCTACTGATATCTGTATGATGCACCAGCACATAATAACTACAACTTTTGTTGTTGTATACCTAAAGTCCTCGTGATGTTTTCTTTTTTATGTGTAAAAATACACATTATGTATCTGAATGCATTATATGCGTATATATTCAAGCTTTGGCAAATTATTTTTATTTCTTCAAGTTAGATATGTTCCTAACTGTAACTTATCAAAATCAGCTTGAAAATTCTTTGAGAGCCTGTTGAAAAATAAAATTTTGATAAGAAATGATAGATAAATATTTTTTAAAATACTGCATGGGTATTTTTTTTACAATGTACATTACTCTTTTATTCAGTTCATATGTATCATAGCGGAGTGTTGTTTCAAACAACAGTAATTAATAAACAAATAATTAAGATGTGTCATTAAGCCATTTTTAGAAAGTAAAACATCTGAGTTCCCTCTGATTCACGCAGGGTTTTTTTTTCTATTTCCTCTCTGCTCCTGTCTCATAATGACACCCCGAGGTCCCTTTATGCCTGCTGTGTATTAGATCAGCAGATTAAAACTATTCAGTTTACCTTATTTGCTACAGTGACTTTAGTAGTGGGAGGTGATGAACCCATCACCTCCCGCCCTTTTTGCCTTGGTTTCCCTCGGGGGTAAAGATTACCTGAACTGGAAGTCTATATGTATATATATACATCACAGGTGTGTTTTTCTGTTATCTGGTTCCTTTAAGGAGCCAAGATCCAACATACTGTATGCCTCATATAATCCAAGCATTTCATCAGCACTGTGTTGTATCAATTTAATCTAATTACATACAAGCTTAATATTCATCTGATTTCACTTAATAGGTTTGTGTATTGGGATTAGAATTTATCACTGTCATGTTTGGAAATACAGAGGTTTGTAAACATCACCGATTTAATTCCACATGGTACCTTCAAGCCTTGATGAAGATATAATTGTGCAGTTACCTTTGACCTGAAAAATATTTTTACAAGATAATCAAGTTCCTTTTTTACTTTTGAATGAGCTGTGATTCACAAGGGGCCAGACTCCTTTACACTTGGTTGCACTATGTCTCATTGTTTGTTACTTATTTAAAGTTTACTTTTGCCTCTCCTCTCATATGTTACAATTTTGTTTATGGTTTGGGATGGTTTCATGTTAAAGGAGAATGCTAAATGGTGACTATGTGTTTTCCTCTATTCAAGTTTTTTTTTTTCTTAGAAATTTGTTTCAGCAGTATGAATACAGTGTACCCTCTTTTTTTGGTGGCAGCAATTTTTACATTTTTTTGTAAGTTTTAGAGTGCATAGTGTATTGAGGAAATTAATGTTATACACATCAAAGTGAATGAGTAAAACGTAGTTTCATCCTTAAAAGCAAGACACCTAACACTGTCTACTCTGGTGGTCTCAAGGATATTGTACATCACTAGCTATTGTAAACAATGGCTTAAATCATCCTTCTGTAGATTATAGAAGAATGAAATTTTTTTCTCTAAGACTGGTTGGTTCCAAACAATTATTAACAAATAGAGAATATCAGCAGACAGTGCCTTCAGATTATGAAAGTTACATCTTGATACATTGTTATATGTTCCTTTTTCTTTCAGGTCCAATGTAGTCGTATTAGGCTGTCCCTAAATGGCAGCACGGGGACCGCCAGATGATGACGACAAAAATCATGAGAGATTGTACGTTAAGATTCAGAGGGAAGAACGGAAAGTTATCCCCCCTGTCCAGCTAGCTAGACAAGAGATCAGAATGACCTATCTGCCCTCTGATCAACCACTGCCATGCATTATCACTACCTCATCATCCTGCGAGGGCAGACGACAGGAAACAGAAGGAATCGTGGGTATGGAAGTCAGTCCACTGGGATCACAGAGCAAGGTCCGAGTGCCAAAGATGGCTGGTCCCCATGGCAGCCCAATTACTACTTCATCTGTCATGGAGATGTCTTCAACCATGACGGCATCATCCAGCAGACACGCAAAAATGGAAGTGAATTCCTCAAGCAAGTCATCCCAGCAAGAGGAACTACTCAATGCTCAAGTGCTGGAATTCTTTGAAGAACATGGCAAGAATATTCAAGAACAACAGCAACAACAACAGCAAACACAAGCTTTAGTTCCTCATTTTCAACAACACAAACGATCTCCAAGTCCCAGTGCAGTTAGACAAAGCATTGGGCTGGATCATCTTGATAATCTAGTCAAATTAATGGAACAGCTATCAACTTTAAGGGATGAAAATCTCAAACTGAAGAAAAAGTGTGATTACTTGGAGAGTACCAAACACCTTTTACAGATTAAAAGTGCTGTAGAATCAGAAATTGGATACTTAACACAAGGAGGTTCTAATTCACTTCCAAAACCTAAATCCAAGTCAAAAAGTGCAGTAAGAGTTAAAACAAGACAGAGACTTCCCAGTGCTGAAGATGCTCAATGTTTGGAAAGGATGGAGGTGCATTCAGAAAGCAGCATAAAGAGACCCAAAACAGTCCCTCTTAGTAAAAGAAGCTTTTCTACTGGTTCTATAGACATTCCGTCTGATATCATGGAACAGTCTGGAGAGGAAGAGATCTCGGAAAAAATACTAAGTTTATCCACAAACAAAAGCAGGAGAAGCAGTCGCAGCAGCAGTAAAGCTTCCAAGTCTCCAACAACCAAACGCAAAGCAAAGACTTCAAACTGGTCCAAAATTATAAAGGTCATTACAAGACAAAAGGCACCTGAACCATATGCTATTAGTATGAAAGGCAGTAGAAAATCCCAGCAAGGCAGGCCACATAGCAAGGAGCTGACTGTGCCTATTTCTGCTGTTGATGGAAGATCTGTGGACAGTGGAGTAGGTAGTGGCCTTGAGGCAGATGGCACAGAGGCACAACGAAAATCCACTTCCTCTGGAGAACCTATGAGTCCCCCTCCTTTCACAAAAGAGGAGCTAAAGCAAAAGGAAGAGATGGATCTAACATCTGATATTTGGATGGGGCCTCCAGAGTGGATTAAAAAACATGAGGATGAATTTTCCACAGTGACATCTGACCAAAGTGAAAAAGAAATTATAATCCTTAAATCCAATGACAGCAAAGATGATTCAGATTATCTCCTTCAAGTCCCCATTACACGCAGGAAATCAAGTCCATCTTTACTGGACCACAGTGACAGAGAAGAAGATTCCTCAGATGAGGAAGAGGAAGACTTCACTCCTCTGAGAAGATCCTCAAGTTACAAAGTTCAGTCTACTCAAGAAAACTCAGATATCAAAGATGTAGTGGACTCTCCAAAACTGATCAAGAAATCCCATAAAACACCACTAGGAAAAGTTGGGAAGATCTTCCATGTGCGCAAAGACAGTATAAAGAAGCAGTTAATTAAAAAACAAAGACATTTAGGAGAGGAAGGAGACATGGATTTGGAAGGAGAAGATGAGGGTCCTATTGGAAGGTCAACACCTAAAACCTCACCCTCAGTTTTAAGACAGAGAACCCTAGAGCTTGCAGATTCCCCACCCTCTAAAGCTTCAACAAGTCATGGCACTATTGATGTCTCAGCATTGATGGGTGAGTTAATGAATTTCATCTATTTTTTATCTATTTACATGAGTTCACTAAAACATGATGTGGACCTTGGAAGAAATTGATGGATGTCCTGAAGTAATCTATATGTAGTTATCAATTTGTCAAGGTGTCTTTACAAAATTCTTTAATTTCATTAACAATATCCTATACTTTTATCAGTATGTAAGTTTGATTTTGTGTGCCATTTAGGAAAAGATATTTCCTAACTTTTTAAAAATGAATGGGCAAAGAGAAGCAACTTATGAAATTTTTAAATAGAAAAGATGATAACCCTGATGAGTTCATTTTGTCTGTTGCAGAAGATTCATAGCCTTTATAGTCTTTAACTTTTGCATTAAGATTTATTATCAAGTTTGCCTGCAAGTAAATATCTATTTTGAAGATAAGACCATACCTGGGTGATCTTTACATTCACTTAATGCTGGTAATTTTTCCATGTATACATGCTTCAATTTGGTTACTTTTAATTAAAACATCATTCTTTAGAATAAAAACTGTTATAAAAGACAGTTTTCATTACTGCCCTGTGTAATGAGATTCTGATCATTTTCAACATGTAGTTGGATAAATATTGATAAGAAATTGTTACATTCTATTTATAGGAAATATTGTAATGTAAATTTGGTAATAATAATTGTATATTTTTTTAAAAAGTTAATAATTCTCATTTCATATTAAAAACTTGCTGAATTTTTCTACTTAAATCTAAAAGCCATTCAGTATCTTCCATCTGTGCAAAGACTTTAAAATTCAGAAATCCAACTTGATCATTAAGCATTAATTGTGGAAAGATTTATTTTCCATAAGAAAGATGCTTTGTGCTTCTACAACAAAAAATTTCAATCAATAGGACTCTGACAGTATTGAAGGGAGAATGTCAAGTTCAGTTATTAATTAAAAAAAATCTAATCAAATCTTAATCATATAATTCCAGAACCAGTAAGGAAGAGCTACACGTACTCTGCAAAACTATAGAGCATTTATTGATCGAATTGATTTGGATCAACCTTGATTTGCCTTAATTTCAAGTCAATAATGTACAGCATATTTGCAAATAGGCTTATTGAACTTTTAAGGGAATGGAAGCACTTAGGCATAAAGAAATGTAATGAAGAAAAAGAAATCAATTTTTGAAATTTGAACATGATGGCTAGAAAGCAAGCATCATGATTATCAAATGTCCAGATCAGAATTTGGCTTGCAGAAGGTTTCTGTATCATAAATTTTTGCCCACGTATGGAGTATTGTTGCCGAGTAATGACCATTTTTAGAGGGAAAAAACAAATCCACAGTCGATAAAAGTCACAAATTTCCTCTGCTATCAGCAGACTTATTTCTGCTCTGATGTGAGCCAAATCTACGGTGTATATATTGTGTTTAAAATCAATCAGGGTGCAATGTTTGGATTTTTTCGGAAGTTCTGTCACAATCCTTGTAAAGGTAATTTTTTATGAAGCTATTTTACAAAAATGTTATTGTATTATATATCAAGAGTATAAAGACTGAAATATACAAATTAATTAAAGTTGCACTTTGCCACTAATGTGACTTTAATTATTGAAAATAATTTCTAATTAATTACATAATAATTGGTAAAGAAATCCATAAAATTATTAATTTGCTACTATTATCTGTCTCAAAAAATCACCACAAAATGAAGCCGAATTATGAATATGATTGATAAGTAAACATTGATTACATAATATGTGGCGTAATTATTAAACAGCAATAAAAACAATGTTTGTCACAATTTCTTAATTAAAATTCAATTATCATCCACAATCCACAATCAACTCAGGAATAGTACATTACTTGTTGAATTAAATGCGAAATCCAGTCACAAACCAAGGAATGTTCTTTTCGCTTAATTCCAATAGTTTTTGCTCCCCTGTTGGCTCCCTTAAGCTGAATAAAAAAGACTCCAACAATAGCTAAAAATAGTGGATATAAAAAAAAGAAGTTCTCATATAATTGTTCATATGACATCAAAAGGCATCTTTTAAATGCAAAGTGTTAGGATATGAAAAAACTATCCAATGGCAGATATTCACTGGATAGAAGGATAAATGAACTTAAATATACCATATTTACATCAAACTCGAGACACCTTATTTCCATGAGATCGTCATTTGGTACTGATAAGTGAGAAAAAATTGATTGTTAGGAATTTTGATTATTATTAAGTAAATTCTTTAATAATACAAATGTATGTGAAAATAAAATTTTCACGAGTAGTGGCCCTTTTCACAAAAAATCTTACGATTAAGACAAAAATTTCCCCATTCCTCAACAAGTATCTAAGCTGTAGTAGGAAAAAAAATTCTTCTACTTCTATTACATTAGATAACATTGTAAAATATATTTAGGAAAAAAATAAATAGATATTACAGAGTTGTCAAATTTTTATCTTAGTAGTAAGATTTTTTGTGAAAAGGGCCACAGACTGTCATACATTATTACGCGAAAATAAAGTTCTCGTGAATAAAATGTGATTAACTGTAATGTACTGAAAAGAATTACAGTATCTGAGTGTCATATGTATCTGAAACCTCAGTGGCTTTTTGGACATGTTCTCAGACAGAGCAAATTGAGTTTCAACCCAGGGGTAGTACCGGTAACCAATTTGAAGCCAACAAACTATTTTTAACCTAAAATTGTTGTACATTGTATAAGTAAAAAAGTACTATATTTAATGATTTGATTTTGGTATCTAAGACTTTTGAGGTATTTTTCGGTTTTGCCCATAAGATGAAAGATCTTTATATTAGCTTGAGCATATTGCTTTTTATTTTTTTGGTATATGCCTGTGTTACTTTCGTATTTAAATGTAAAAAACCACAGTCAATATTTTAGGTAACATGTCAGATGATTTTTCCAAGAAAATGAAAGAATGGAATGAACTGCAGACGACAAAGAGATTTTCAGCATCACAGAGAGGTGGGATAGCCAGATTTATTGCTTTTCCTCCGTCATCCACCATGATTTAGAATTGGCAAACTTGTGTTTCTTAGTGCATTCATTTAGACTGTTTACTTTTCTTTGCATTAAGAGAATAAAGAATTAAAAGCTCATGGTCATAATAAAAACAGCATTGACGACTTACTCCATAGATCTTTGCAGTTCTTAGCAATAGTTGGGCTATTAATCTAAAAGCTGCATGAAGAGTTTAATATCCATAAAAAAAATTTATTTCCAATTTACCACTGGATATAAAGCATGCCTCAGTAATTCTATTAGCTAACTTTGTTTTATGTCACTTTTTACCACAGCGGAATGAACAGAAACTTAGATTTCAGCACCGTTATTGTTGAGCTTTACTGATTACAATATCGTGGTTTATTTTTTAATTTTAATTCGAGCAGAAGGTGACGGCAGTGAAGCTACAATCCCTGAGCAGATTGCCGCAGTGTCTCCTGAATTCCAGAAGAAAATGGACGAATGGGAAAGAACAAGAAGCATCAAATGTAAGTCTGTTGCACTATTCAATATTAAAAAAAAAATTAAAAATAAGCAAATTCAAATATTAAGAAATGAAGTGTGCAAGAAATATTCACAAGATCTGCAATGGTTCTTTACTAGCAAAGTTACATTCAGTCTTTGGTAGTTTAAATGTTAAATTGCCATAATTTTGATTAGATTTATTTCCTATTGTGAACAAAGTAAATAAAAGAAGCATTCATTGATAGAATTTACAGTAATCTGTAATCTGCCATCCATGTATTTAAAGTAGGGATGTCAATTTTGTCGATAATTCATATTCGAATATTCAATGAAAGTATTCGAATATATTCGAATATTCGATAAAATAAATAAAATCTGGTTTAGTTTAAATATGTATCATCCTACTTTCACGAATGGTTTAGCGTAGGTATTCTTATATTGGAAGTAAAATTGTATGAAGATTTTTGTAGGTGTACAATAAGAAATTCCTTTTGATATTTGTCAATATTTGAAAAAAATAATTGATTTAAATGTAGAAAAGTACAATTTTAACAAGTTATACAATCATGCGTGTGTTTTTATAGTAACTCCAACTGAGCAACCAGTCGTCTTACCAAAGGCAGTATAGTCGTCTAACTGTTCAGATTTCAATACGTGCAATTAATTACAATTATCGGCCTAATAAGAAATATGATCATAACCTTTGATACAATGTTTTTAAAATATAAACAAACATTTCCTTAGATAATTTTCCTAGGTAATTAACTATTTTCCCGATAATGAAAATAAAATTCAGGATTATGTACAACCCGTGATAATCAAGTAATTTACACATTTATTCTGAAATTGAGCCCTTTCCAAAATTTATTTACAGACAACTTCCATCGGACATCCATTCAATGATCAATTAAATTTATTAAGATAAGTATACTCTTCACGTCTTTTGGACATTCTAAGGAGATTTGCATTTTAATTGTTGTCCTCGATTCTATATCCGATTGTATTTAACAAATAACAAACTATTAAAGTACGTTTTGTATTATACATGAAGCATTAATGTATAATTCATTAACACCTTACTCAAAACAAAATAATTTAGTAGATCTAGACGATAAGGAAGAAGTGAAAGAAATCAGGCGATCAAAATTGATCGCTTGTAAATTAAAAGGGGATATCTATTCAAGATTTATTAATCGCAGTACTTCTTTAAATGAAATCTGAAAAATACCGAATATTCGTATCATAAATTCATATTCGAATATCAACTCATCGAATGAATATTCGAATGTTCGAATATTCGTTGACATCCCTAATTTAAAGTGCTGTTGTGCATTAAAATCAAACATGTATTTTGATTTTTAGTATTTCAAGACTCAAATCTCTTAAGCTGACTTTATATAAAAATTTTTATTCTCAATTATAGACACCAGTGAAGATCATGACAAGTCAGCTTCCCGAGAATCAAGAGAGGGATCCCCAGAGGCCTTCACCCCACCAGATTCCCTGTCTCACCCAATCAACATTGAGGAAATTCAGAGAAAGCTTACTGATAGCTTCTCGAGGAAAATGGAGGAGTGGGAAAAGCAGAAATACAAGGGTAGGGAGGGGAGTCCAGGCTTGATCCGAAGAAATAGTGGCGGAAAGTCCATCACACGAAAGGAGGAACGACAGAAGAGTAGAAAAGTTAAAGAAGGGAAAGGGAAACTGGAACGACAGAGAGAAAGAGAGTTACAGAGGGTGGAGAAAGAACAACAGAAACTGGAGAAGGAGAAAATGAGGCTAGAAAAAGAGAGACTAAAAGCATTGGAACGTGAGGCTAGGATAGAGAAAATGAAAGGTCGGCTTAGTCAATCTGACATGGATTCCAAATTCAAAAATCCAGTGCTCAGTCCCTTAGCAGAATACAAAGTTACTTCAGATTTTGCTAAAAAGTTACATCAGTGGGAATTAAAGAAAGGACCAGGATCTGTTTCCATGGCAACTTATCTTGAAACACAACAAAAAAGTCTTGGTCAAAGCCCAAGTCCTGACAGCTCATCGAAAAAGGAGAGTTTCTCAGTGGAGGATCAACAACAAACACCGGTTAGAAAGCTTTCCAAAGGTCAAAAGCCACCACCTTTGACCCTTATGCCTTGCTCAGACTCACCAGATGAAGTGTCACCAGGTGCAAGGTCAAGGTCATCTTTGGACAGTTTTGAAGATGAAACATCCATAACCACAGAGAGTATGACAGAGTCCAACATATCCAGGTAAACTTCCATTAATTGTTGTTGTCAGGAACTATCAAAACTCCCCTAATGCCAAGCTTTAACACACTGGGCTCAGTAAATCAACAGATTTTGATGGACAATCATAAACATGAGCATGGTTACTAGTGACACAGGCATTTACTGGTGACAGAGATGAAATTTCTCTGAAGCTTTTATTGCAGACCATTTATCCTGTGTATGTCACTGCTGACCCAATAATACATGCTATGCATCCACCATATAGTAATGAGCCATTTGTGTATTCTCTTAGGCAAACAAGGCCACATACTTCACAACATTCAAATTACTAATGTTTCATATCACTAATATTATCATTGAAATTTAAGAAATAAGTATGTTTGAAGTTTTAATGTTGAGTCAGAAAACATGATGTAAATGGCAATAGGTTGTCATTTAGATGAAGATAAAACCTTTGATTATTACATTCTTGGAAAGCAAATTCCAGCAAAGCATTTGGCACTATACTGAAAATATAATAGAGAATAAGGTTGCTTCATTTCTGTGTAGGTTTTTTTTTTGTACTTTATGTGTAATGAACAATCACTGGAACATGATTTTTGTTTTGGCATGCTAGTCTGGAGAAAGCCAACGCTCGTTTGCTGGAAGAACTGCAGGAGAAAGAGATGGAATACGCAAATCTACAGGAAGAAGTCCGTGATCTTAATGACAAACTGAACAAGGCCAGGATACAACATTCCACAGAGCTAGGTAAACTCTCCAGAAAGGCGTCGCAATATATCAGGGAGAGTGTTTACATATGCACAAAAAACAAAAACAAAAAATTTGGTGTAGGAATATGGAAGAAATTTAATGAAAGAATTATTTCGAAGTAAGCACTTCAGTAACATTCCCTCACAAGAATTTATGATCAAGGCCAATATAATGTTCTTTGTTAATGCCGGTGGAATTTAACTGTTTATATCAAGTACAAAATTTTATTTTATATATGGATTGTCTACTGTTACCACCCCGCACATAACGTTATTCCACAGCATCTTTTGCAACCCATATAACCTTAGTACTAATGTACATGGCACTGGAATAAGTATTGTCTGGTGGTCTGCTAAAAAGTACTCTCTGCACAGTATTTTACCTTTGAAGTTACACATAGCCTATGAATGCCATAAGTTGAAATATGTATATCCTATAACACTGGTGATTGTGAGTGGGTATTATATACCGTAAATCTGGAAATTTTTACTGTAGATAAATTTTTAGCAAATTTACGCTTGCATTGCATTCGCAAAAATTTTTTTCTTAAAAATAAATCAACAACAAAAAATATGAATAAAAATTCTGCTGAACAGCTGATGTCTTTTTTTAACCCGGTGAACAAATGTTCGTAAGCAATGGTCATTTTCAGAAATCTTTTTATACTACAAGCAAATTACCCGTGACAATAACTACATTCAATATCGTCTGATGGTTTGACAGGCAGTATGTCTCTTTTAAATTATTTCTCCAAGAAAGAAAGTCCTGTTGTTTTATCTAACAACGAATCCCTAGCACGACAGAATCTTACCGGGGAACATAGTCTTGTGTATAATGAAATCCAATGAAAGAAAGGAGATGGCATGTACATGCAAAATTCATTCCACATGCGTAACTTATAAACTGTTACGAAAATTTTAAGCGCTTTTTTATTTTTAACGCCAATGACAATTCGCAAAATTTTAAAACGTAAAAATTAATCAACACCTTTTTGACCCAGATTCGCAAAAATAAATCGACGTAAAAATTTCCAGATTTACGGTAGTCAATGGTGGAGAATTATGGTAGTGGGATGTAACTCTTTTAAATATGCAGGAACTATGTGCACAATTGTATAACATGGATTGGTTGATATATAGAACAGCATCCCTGAATGTACATATCTTAATTGGTATATTCAATTCTTTATTCATATCTTCTTTCTATCTCTGTCACCATAGTTTATATATCAATATTAATACAACCTTTCGATATAATCATGTATTTATATAGCTCTAAGCCTTAGTATACCCATATATAACCTACACTAACCCACTAACCCGTCTTTTGTCCAACAGAACACTATAAAGAATGCCTTGCAGGTGGGAGCACAGTTCCCCCATTGTCCCCGTTTACTATGTCCAACCAGCTGACTGAACTTGAGAGCAAAATCCAGGAACTCAAAAGCTTTGGAGAAAACCTTGCCGTTACTCTGGAAAGTGCTGCGGTATGTCTCCATCTGATGAAAATGTTATTGTATCATAAGCCTAAAAGTATGACATTACTAAATGGCTTTTAGCATTTTAAATCTGAAAAACGGTGGTGTTTGAAATGAAAATGCAGAAGTACCTTGCTGTAAAACTTGTCCAATCCGGATGTTGTGTATTCTGAAATCTTTCTAATATGATGTTAACTTTAAGTCCCTTTCAGTAAATTCAATTGATTAAGATGTTATCTAATCTGGAATGTTGTCTAATGCGGCCAATTTCTATGGAACCAGTGGTGTCTGGAGTAGACATAAGTTTCATAGAATGATGTTTCAACTGGATTAATTTTTTTCACTTTTCGGATTGAGATATTCTTTGTGTTAGACATGAAAATTTCAATATCTCAGTAGTCTAGACTCAAGTTACTGTTCAATATTTTTGGATGCATGCTTATGCTTAACTTATATCAGACAATTTCTGATAGGTATGTAAATGGCAGTCAATAGAAGGTGAGGAGAATGTTAACTCAAGACTGATGGATCTGTTAGAAAAGATGAGACAAATGTTAATCCAAGCTTCACAGTCAGGTACTACATCACTAGATTTAAGGTTAAATGAACTAACATTGTTAAATCTCTATTGCAAGAATTTTCTTACAAACACTTATTATCTTATGTTCTGAATATGACATAATTTTTTCCCTTTCTTCTCTGCAGAAGAAGTATACCAAAAATCCTCTGCTCTGCACAGTTTTGAGAAGCTCTATAGCCAGGCCATGCAGCTACAGGTGCAGGTAGAGCATGATTTGTGTGGCTTATTATGGCCCCTGATTTGTGTGGCTTAATTGTTATGGCCCCTGATTTGTATGGCTAAGTATTATGGCCCCAGATTTGTGTGGCTCTGGCATATTGTGGCCCCTGATTTGTGTTCCCCTGGATAATTATGGACCTTTGGATTTGTGTGGACCATGCTTTCTAAGGCCACTTCACTTGCTATGAAGCTTTGAGATACAGTGGTATGGGATATAAAGGTCCGTTAATTAGGGCATCCCTGGCTTACTTTGGCCCCTTAGGTTGTGTGGCCTTAACATACTGTGGCCTGTTCAGTAGCCAAGTGTGACAAATCCCGCTTCATCAGTTCAACATTGTGTTATATTGGTTGCAGATGCAAAATATGCTGCATAGAGTGAAGGATTGCAGTGCAGACAAGTGTCTTGTATATAAACTCAGCTATTAATTAGTTAGAGAGTTTTGGTGGAGATAATATATGTAACCCAGAAATGTTACCTAGAAATGGCTGGTTTTTGCTAAGCTTTGTTAAACAATGGTTCTTTCTCTTATTGACATTGATTTTGTGAATATTTCAAATGTTTGGTATCTGAGTATATATATTTGAGTGTACATGTACTGTATCTGATGTGTCCAGTTCAAGTTCACAATGTCATAAATAATTGTATTAGAAGAAAGTGTAGAATATCCCTCCAGTTCAGAAGATCATTTACAATTGCTGATCCAAAAATGGTATCCTTTTTTCCGAAGTGCTAACTTCACCTCTCTGACTTTCTCAGTAAATATTTACCTCATCTGTAATTCTAATTCCCTAAATACATAAAATATGAAACAAAAAGTATTAATGTTGAATTGAATTAGGATTAGCTGTTTACAGTCCAAAAGGTCCATGTGATGAAATAAGAACTGTGTTACATGGTTATTGACTGCGGTTAGCCTCTCAGAAAAAAGCTCCCATCTAAGTTCAAAAACCTACTTTTTCTCGATAGTCTCCTTTGTTTTTTTACAAATATTTATCAACTGCCTTGAAATTTCTCATTTGTCCATGTCAGGAATTGGACAGGAAGCACTATTGGTAACAATAACCATGTACTATATGACTAATGTACTATCTGAGTGATGTAGTATGTGGTTCAATGATTGATCATCAAAATGTGACTACCAAAAAGTTGATACATCTATCATTAATGAAAAAATGATTCTCATCTAATAACGTCTTTGATTTTTACATTTATTAATACAAATATTTGTAGATGTAAATAAAATTTTTAATTTCAACAGACATATTTATTGAGAAGAAAATATGCAGAAGGATATGCTCCTATAATATAAATATTTTCATTTCCTGCTTAAGTTGAAGATATAGAAAAATACTTATACATTAAGGTGGGATAACATAGGTTCTTTTACATTAGTGAAAAATTCCAAACATGAAGTTGTTGCTGATGTTTGTTGCAGCTTAGCAACCTAAGGTTAAGTCAGATTGAGCGCAACAAGGAGATCATGTCCATGAAGAGGCAGCTATTGCTACAAGAGGCTAACAATCTTCTGCTACAAGCAGACATCACACGCCGGGAGACAGAGCTACTACGATACAAACAAGTGGCCAAAAAGAACCCAAGTCTGAAACGCTGGAACACGTACGGAGGAATGGAAGGACGAGTTGTAAGTATCATTCTGAGAGGTTAAGAGTTCAAATCAGTAGATGTTACCTTAAATATTTCAGTGAAACAATAATCAAATGTCATTAGATTTTCAAAAATGTAGTTTGAAAAATCTTCTTTTCTGATCTATTTAAGCATATTATGGGTTTTTCACTGATTCAGATGGTTGTTTTGATAAGATTAACATCAACATCTTTATTTTTCAAAGTTTGTTGTACATGGGGACAGCAATATTTGTGTCCATGCAATGCTAAGATGAAAAATGTCATTAATAATTGTCAATTTTTTTTTAAAACAAAAAACAACCACTGGCTAAATGTTGTAGTTATTTCATTTGAACTTCCATCTTCTCATATATTTACTTAAAAACAACTAGATAAATCAGTCTGTCATCAAACAAAACAGAAAAGAAAAATGTCTTATGAAATGATGCAAATAAAATTGAATTTTTTTTTCAATAAGTTGATAGAAACATGCATAACTTGGCAGAAAGCATAAATATTTGATTCTTTACTGATAATTTTCCTATCATTTCATTTTACTGCAAACCAGGATAAAACGACTCGGTTTAACTTGGTGTAAGTTTGATGTTGTGCCCTGTCTGTAGTTCTATTTATTTAGATTTACATCGTCTAACTCGGAGTTATCTCCCTTACATTGTTAGATGGTGGAAGTGGTTCTTAAGGGGTCATCCTATCTCCAAAATTTAACCTTTGACCCAATAATAATAATACATTTCAATTTGAAGTTCTCAATGGAAGAAAATGAAACATGAATCATGTATGACATAATGTTGATGTGTGGTTTATATACTGTGACTACAGTGCAAACAACTTTTATTTGTGAGTGAAAATATCCATGAGCTTTTGGACTTCCTTTTACATGCAAATATTTTCTGCCAAGAACCATTATTTCTTTGTGTTTTTATGTAGAACGTTTCCTAGAGGTATTCAATGTATAAATAGTAGCTGATGGATTTCAAATTGATAAATTGTAAATTAAAAAAAAATATATGCATTTGCTGATTTCATCTTTTAGGTGGAAGGCAAAGAAGCTGAGTCTGTTCCACCATACAAAAGATTCACCAAAAACATTGTCAACAAGTCAGTTGTGAATGGAGCAGAGGAAATTCAGGAGGCTTCAGAACCCAGTACCTCTGGTAATTATGGCAGACTTAACTGGTTCCTAGTACTGTGAACCAGTTTTCATCATGGCTAATTTTCTGGTTTAATTTAGTCATGGAGATTTTCGTTGGTAGTTCCTCCTTAAGTTGTCTTCTTGCGCGCACTTTCAACATAGTTCAATACATGCATTAAATTAATACAAATGTATTTTTTTTACAGTGATTAACTCTTTTTCTTGATACCCTAGTCCTCTTAATCTAACAGATTATTATAAGTCGCATGCAAAAAAGTTTATAGTATAGAAGTACCTATATGTCACATGCATATAATCACTGTTTATTGAAGCTTACCTTATAATTATATCAAACAAGTCAACAGTAAAATAGAATTCTGTATGAATTTAAAGTAGATGATCTCTTTTTCAAAAAATAAACTGAATAGTTTCATAAGAGAAATTTATTTTTTTTCATTCAACATACTGACTTCATTAATTTATCAGCTAAAAATTTGATATAATAAATAAACAAAGAAATATGTAAACAGTCAAACCTCGTTATCTCAAACTCTATGGAACCAAGATTGAACTTTGAGATATCTGATGATTCAAGATAACCAGGGTTCAAAATACATGTATAAAGAATAAGAGGTTGGGACTGCCAACTCACTTCGACACATCCCTGGTATTCAAGATATTGGTATGCAAGATAATGAACTTCAACTGTATAATTATATATATAGAGTATTCTGGAAAACAGGATATTGTCTAAGGGAGTTAATCCACTTTAAATAATTAACAAATAATGCTTCTATAAATAGTATGTCTATAATTACATGACATGTACTTGTTGGCATTTGAAAATGGTTAATAATTGAAAGACATATGTTATAGATACCAGCAAGGATGAAAGTATGAGAACAGATGATGCTTCTCCAGCGGTCACACGCCATACAAATACCAGAAGTTCATCTTCAGTCATCCATGTATCACAAGCCATTCATCCCATGTCACGAAAACCACCATCTTCTGAAAGAGTTTCCACCTCCCAGGATCAAGACAAAGAAACTTCGGAGACATTCGAATCAACTGTTGTTGTTCCAGCCAGTCAGGATCCAAGAAAGATCATTCACACTGACAAAGGTGTAGAAATATCACTCACCATCAAGTTACCTAAAGCTAATGTCAGCATGCCTAGAGACATCTCACAACATGAGCTCAGTGTACCAAGGAGCCAAAGAGGAAAACCTGTGGATGCTTCCAAAGTCACAATGGGTCAAGTCAGTGAAATCAGTGAAACATGTTCAGCATCAGATATTACTGAAATGAAGTTCCCGGAACTGTTGATACCAGAGTGGAAAAAGACAACGGATGGAGGGTTGATGAAGGTGGAGAGGCTGGAAGTGGAGGAACCCATTCTGAGTAACTCGGTACCTTCAGTGGCCAGCCATCCACCAAGTGAAACCATTCCAGTGACTTCTGATTCCTCTCAGTCAGATTCTGGTCACTACACTTCTGTTTCTGTTGATGTATCTAAGGAAAAATCTGTGGACCAAAGGGTTCCTGCTATCAGTGAAGAGCAGGCCAGATCTCTGGAACAGATGACCCAGAATAAGAGACATACATTCACTGGAGTAATGGACACTGGCTCTGATACTGCCATTGCAGCTAAACCTCTCAAACAAACATCAGTTACAATAAGCCCTATGATCTGTAGAAGAACTTATGAGTCAAGTGTTCATTGGCCAAGATTGAGAAATATATCAAATATTCACAGGATTAAACCAGCTGAAGAACTTCTGCAAGAAAGCAGGAGATATAGACAAGGCCAGTCCATTTACATGACAAGAATTTTACAAAAGTATGCTGTAAGTGAAGAAACCAAAAAATATTTTGATGAAAGACAGTCAAATTATGACAAAGAAAATTTTGCTCATCATGGCTATGTGAAAACCATAGTACAGAGATTATCACGTGAAGGAACTCCAGATTCAGGAGGTAGCAGCAGCAATGTTTCTGCGAAGCCAGGAACCTCAATCACAATACACAGGGCAGATTCCCCTCGAGCAAAGTCTGAATTTGTACAGCAAATTGTGAGGAAACTCTCTGCTCCAACTGGACCAGGTCAGTCTAGAACTGGTGTTGCCCCTTTGAAAGATTTAACTAATGGTGTTGGTGTGAAAAAATTGGCTCAGGCATTTGACAGTGGAAGAAATACCCCAGAAAAAACTCTTTCTGACACTGAGCAAAAGCCATTCAAATCTGTGTTAGTGACAAGCTTGAGACAGAAAAGTCATGACTTAGGTCACATTTCCTTTGATTCATCTTCATCCACTTCAACTTTAACTTCTCCGAATACAACAGAAGATTATGATCCATTTGATGGTAGAAAAGAATCATCTGTTAGTGAACATGTGATAAATTTTTCATCCATGCCATTGTTAAGTGTAGCAGAGGAGGATTCCTCAGATACAAATAATGGCTACAGGGAACGGGCAGCCACAACGTGCGAGGCAAGTTCATCTCAAGGAGCCAGAAGCAGTCAAATTGATGAGATCCATGCTTTCTCCGATAGCGACATTTCTTGTCCGTCTTCTGGTAAACGCCACATATCTCATAAGACAATAGTCCCAGCAGGTGCCACAAAGATGGAAATAGTATTTCCCCAAAGACTCACAGAAAAAGGCAGTGGAAAGGTGAAAATGGGAACAATAGGACTGTTGTGTCAACAGACCATGTTGTCGTTTGATCTCGGTTTGACAATGAAAGCAGAGCAGCAACAACAGAAGGAAACATCAGAAGTAAGACTGAGAAAGAAGAGCCAGGGAGAAGAGGAAAGACCAAGGCCACTCTCTTCATGTTCCGACACCTCAAACGAGGAAAAGAAAAAAGCCAAATCCAAATTTTTTGAATCCAATTGGTTGCAAAGACCAAGAAGGTTTTTCAAAGTTTCGAAGTAAGTGATTCTTTTATAGTCGCTGATTTAAGGAGACATGGGAAATCTTAATCATGAATTTTCAAAATATTTGAAAATTACTAATAATTAAAACAAATACTTTTTTTTACTTTTTATTTTACTGCATTTTCTATCATTTATTTTCTAATGAAATTTAAAGTAGATCTTCCTAATACCATTTAATTATGATACTATACCGAAAATTTGAACCAGGAAAACGAGTAAAAATTGTTGAAAATCTGATCATTTTAGATGCTGCGATAGAACAGCTTCAGAAAATATTAATGTTTTTGATAGATGAAGGAGCTTTTGAAAATATTCCGGAGATTGGTAATTTAAAGTTTTGGCAATAACACCAAACATCTATGTATATGTAGTGTTGTAATTAATGAATGACACTGGAAATTAAATTCTCTTACATTGCTGGGGTATGTCTCTTTGGTTTTCAGACTAGAGCACTTTTTCAGTTTTTATATTCTTAACATTTTTTCTTCTTGGCTGACTGGCTGTGCTAAAAGTTTGAAGAGTTCTCATTGTACATCATATAATTCAAAATGATATACTAATATTGCATCTTCATTTCATCAAATTTATTAATTTCATATTTATCCTGATTTAACAAAGTACCTTAACTAATAGAAAATTCATTTCATTTACTTACCTACAACTGACTGCAGTGGTCCCAGAAAATCCATGATTTATTTGACATACATACATATAAATTATTAGGCAATTGAAAATGATACAACACACATAAATATTTACCTCTGTCAAGTATAGCTAGAAAATAATTGTTCATTTCTATGCTGTGTGTATTGAAAATAATTTTTTTTCTCAAGACAAAGTTAAAAATATATATAAATACATATATGTGATTATGGTGATTTTTATTTTATTTGCAAATCTATTCCATCATTAATAAATCTAACAGTCATTGATTACATTGTAGTTCAAATTTAATTGTTTAGTAACATGTTGGTGCATGAAAATGGTTTCGGATATTTGACACAATAATTCAAATTCAATCACTAATCATTCTCTAAAAAAGGCCAAATGTCAAGGGCTATTTTGAACTGTGTAGAATTTTATTAATCATAGAATTTTAATTACTGCTTCAAAACTAAAAACATTAAATTAGCACATTTTCATACCTACAAAGATATTGTAAATTTGTACATAAATTCTCACGCATGATAAGATTCCATGATTGAATGGGCTTTGAGATCAGGCTGGAAATTTGATCGACGCTTTGTTGCAGTGTTCACATTTATTATATATTCTTGAATTTACCAATAAATATTAAAATTTCAATAGCTGTTGTGTTTAAAAAAAATTAATGAAATCCATTTCTTGTAATTTTTCAGATGCTGACACTTATTGAGTGTGTAAGGTCTGACAAGCTGGAGTTGTGTTATACAGGAAGGAAGCTACTGTTGTCATGGAGATGATCACCTGTTTCCATGACGTCAAAGATGGCCGCACTCCGTGAAGACAATACCATGGGGAAACTCAAGCCCCGAAGCAGGAGATGAGTGGAGGCTGTCCGGTTCAAGTTGACCATACTGGTCAAGACAATTATCTGGACCACTCTCACACTGCTGGACAAGGAGAGGAATACACTCAACTTGATGAAAAAAATCCAACTTAAAAAAATCTCCATAAAATGACCTTTATTTCAGCAATTTTATTTTTTCGCAATTTGGCTTTGCAGCCTAAATGACTGAACATTTTGAACCATTAACCTTCTGTAGAAACCACTATTATAATTTGTTCTTTCATGTTCATTGAATGAATATTGCTCTGACCAAAAAAAGTGGTGATGATCTAGTCCAACTTTCATCTCATCGGATAAAATCTGGACATTTTTATCCTAATTTGTATTTATAGATTCTTCTGTATTAAATGTTCTGCCAAATCCTGGTCATAGTCATTTCATCCATTTAGTCATAGATAATATAAGAAACATACAGGGCACACTGAAGATATTGTAGATGTATATGGAATGAATTAATTTATAAAGATTTTAAAATAGAATAATATATTATTGAGAAAGAAAAATTATATAGAATATGGGAAAAAAACTATAATTTGATTTTAGACATATATTTTATTTGATATGATAAAAATCTACAAAAAATATACCATGTAGATTTATGTAGCATTAAATGCATCTAGATTGGTAATTAACAGTATTGTACTTGATGGTAGCATAAAATGCAATACCTGCCAAAGATAGTGTGCAAAGTCCATACAATATATATGAATCTCAGTTATAATTCTTCACCCTTTAGAATTTTACTGGGTTTCTCAATATTTACAACCAACAAAATGGTGCTATATATACAGATATCATGCAGTTTGTGTGTTTGATTAATGATGTCAGAATAAAAAAAAATGAAAGTTTGTTAGTTGGTATTCTTTTTGGTAAACTGATGGATTCCCTTTCCAAGAAAATAGATGGAAATCCATTTTATTTTTAATCTTCCAGTATATTCAAGTCCTCAACTATGTGCAGTCGGTGTCCTTGACGCTTATGATATAATTAGCCTCCATGTATGTACTACTATTGCTTTTCTTGTCATGTGCATTGAATCATTTACCTACCTATGCATGACTGAGTAATGATAGATGTATTCTTAATTATAATGCTGAAAAAAAATAATCATATCATATTGATTTGGCATTACATCAATTGAAAGAGTATTTGGGGGAGTAAAGGGAATTAGTTAGGTCCGTAGAACGCGGGGGGCAAGGCCCCCCACCACTTTTTTCGGAGTATAATATTTTGCATATTAAATTTTCCTATGGATGCTGGTTGCCCCCCCCCCCCCCCCCTCACTTTTTGATGTTGTAAGGTTGAGCACTGGCAAATTCCAGGATTTGGACCGTAAAATACGTTTTTTTGTTTTAATTGTCAGATAATTTTGGGAAGCTGCCCCCCCCCCCCCTTTTTAGTCAGTCTAGGTTTTTTTTATTTTGCTTGTCAGATTTTTTCTGCAAGTTGGCCACCCCGTTTTTGAAACCGTTGCTAGGGCCTGCTAGTGGCATAAATGGTCAATTTATTAACACCCCCTTCGAAAAAAAATTGTAATAATGAATAGATGAAGGATATGATTATATTACAGTGAAATGACGCAAATAAATTCTAATATCTGAAATAAAAAAAATTGTAATGGTTCTTTGACTTGAACAAATTGCTAGATACGTGCCTCTGAAATACACACATTTTGTTCGACTAGAACATTTTCATTGATAACTTGAACTTTCATTATTCGATGACCTCATTAAATTTGCATATATGCATTAATGCATCCCTTTTCCCTCAGTTTCTTGTTTGAAAATGATGTTTTCAGTGATTTATTTTTCATATATTTGAAATCTGAAGAGCTAAAAGTGAGTATAGTTTTGAGACGATAAACAGTAATTAACGTTTTAAAGTATGAATATTTTCCCCTTTAGACATTGATTTTGTAAGAAAATACGACTATTACGAAAATATGTAATTTCGGATATTTTTTAAAGGGAGGATACATCCCGTACTCCTTACTACATTGTATTTTTGTATTTACACAAAGGATCCCCCCACCCCCACCCCACCCCCCGCCATTTAATTTCTTCTCTGGTGTTAATGTTTTTGTAGCAAATATGATGAGAATAAAGAAAAGCAATCATTAGCGATCATGGAATTATTGCCGATTGAACAAGATTTCCAGATGAGTTTCAACTGTAAAAAATGGAACTTGACATTCTTTCTGGAACAGTCGTTTGGTCATCTTTGTCTCTTTATCAGCCAAGTTAGGTCTGCTTTTTTCAAAGTCTAGGGACAAAATTTTAAACATTTTTAAAATTCCGGTACCAGGGAACGTTGATTTAAACTGCATCTGGAAATGTGTTCAACTCAGTAACAAGTTCTGACTTCGTCGTTTGCAATTACGTACATTAAATTAGAATAAAGGTAATTAACGTTACTGTAACAAACCCGAAATTCTTTGTAATGCACAGCAAAACTCAAAAGATATTTTCTAAGTTTGTTATCTATTGAAAAAGTCAAGAAAAAGATAAATGATAAATTTTATGGTTAGACATGACCAAATTTTTTAATTATATAATAATTATATATAATTATTAAAAATAATTTGACTGGATAGCTGTAGAATTCTAAATTGAGGTCACAGTGACCAACTTTTGGGGCGCGAAACACCACCACCACACCCTAACATGCTATGATGAGATGAGGTTCGGTGTTTCTAGGTCTTACATAGCACGATATGATCCGGACATGCATGGTTTGACTACATATCTATGTAGAATTCCAAAATAAGGTCACGGTGATCTACATTTCTGTCATGGCATACTTTAACGGTAAGATGTATCAACTGGAAGTGTTTGATGCAAGTCGGCAATTGATGATGCTATAGCTACTCGTTATCAGCAATTCTCAATGGAGATCTACATTATACAAGATGTGATGATGGCGATATCTGGTTATGTATGTGTAAATACCATAAAATTCCAAATTGATGCAGGTTGGCCTAATTTTGGGTTGTGACACACCTTCTTTCCAAGATTTATGGTCAGACTTACGGCATGCAAGATATGACCTTGGTACGACGAAGAAGCTGACAGACAGAACATCCCTTTTCATAATACATCATACATATTCCAAAAATGGGTATCTGAATTATAAGAATATGTATATGCCAGCAACGCTAATATGAATTTGAATATGAAGCTAACGAACAGTATTCAATCTCTCTGTACATATGCAGAATAAATTCATGGACAGTTCTAAATACTGCAACACTTTATTTGTATTTAATGGTTTGTCTCCACCAAAAATAAGTTTTAATTAAATAGAAAGGCAATGATAATAAGTGTTTGCGATCGGACACAATATTTTGGACACTTTATGGAAAAAGTGAAATGCAGATTCAGCCAGGGGACCCGTTTTACAAAAGAACTCACGACTACGACCAAAAAACTTTAGTTGATTGTAAAATTTTGCAAAATTAATTATTCTGTTTTAATAAAATTGCTATTGTAAACGTATCTTTACTACATGCAGTCCTTTTAAAAAGATTAAAACTATTGTCAATATAATGTTTATCTGTTAATTAGAAAGTTATATGCAGAAATAAATTTTGGTCTTAGTCGTAAGTTCTTTTGTAAAACGGACCTCAGAACTACCTCTACACGTCACAACTTTGATGTTCCCTCAACCCTTTAACCCCCAAAGTTGTGAGTCATGACTAATAAATAAATCAGCATTTAGATGACTAGCATTATTTGTCAATGTAATATCTTCCACAGATGTAATATTTTTTTTTAAAGGTTGAACTTCGTTATCTCGAATACCATATGCATACATGAGTTAAACGGTAACCTTGATACCTCGAATTATCGGATATCTCGAAGTTTCACTTCTGGGGTCCCATCGGGTTCGAGATAACGAGGTTAGACTGTGCAATTAAAATAAATAAATAAATAATGAATCAACATAATACCTGGGAACGGTAATATTTGATTATATCTAACATATATTACATAATTATATAACCCACGGTCTCTAAACCTAGTTTGATCCATAAGGTCTTTTTTTTCAATTTGCTAGTTGGATTCAGTTGGGTCTATTTGGGTAAATCGACGCATCCCTTAAAACAACAAAAATGGCGAGGTATAATATGTATACTGTTTTGGATCTCGTAACCAGCCTCTATAACCAGGCAGAGCGCATGCGTGAAATAAATTTCCATCGAGATCGGAAAACAGCAGAGAGGAAATTCGGAATATATAATGGAAACTAGTATTGCGGAATGATACTATAGTCAGATGCAGAAATTTTTGCATAATTCGATCAACTTTTATTTAAAAAAGCAGAAGAATAAATATATCAACTTTACAGCTAGTTTTTATTTATTTATTTATTTATTTATTTATTTATTTATTTATTTATTTATCATTCTTATAATTAATTAACTAAGTAACTGATTAATTTATTAAAATATATATATATATATTTTTTAATTCATTTATAACATTCTTTCCTTCATTTATTAATTATTCCATCCATTAATTAATTATCTATTAATTAATTCATTGATTTATTAATTTGTATGCATGTTTGTTTATTTATTTATTATTCTAATAATTAAGTAATTGATTAATTCATTAAGAAGTTCATTTATTTGTTTGTTTATTTATTTATTATATTCATTCCTTCATTTATTTCGTATTCTATTAATTAATTAATTAATTTATTTACTTATTTATTTATTTATTTATTATTTATCTATTTATTTATGCATTCATTTATTCGTATTTTTATTTATTTCTTTATTTTTTATTTCTTTATTGATTGATTGATTTATTTTTGCCTTTATTTATTGATTTATTAATGCATTTATCATATATTTCTTTTATAAATTAATTAATTTTACAGGGTTTGTATACTTATTACCAGGGTCTGTTTATGTATTGCCATAGTTTGTATACCATCACCAGGGTCTATATACCTATCACCAGGGTCTGTATACTTATCACCAGGGTCTGTATACCTATCACCAGGGTCTGTATACTTATCACCAGAGTCTATGTACCTATCACCAGGGTCTATATACCCATCACCAGGGTCTGTATACCCATCACCGGGGTCTGTATACCCATCACCAAGGTCTATAAACCTATCACCAGGGTCTATATACCCATCACCAGGGTTTGTATACCCATCACCAGGGTCTGTATACCTATCACCAGATTCTGTATACTTATCACCAGGGTCTGTATACCCATCACCAGGGTCTATATACCCATCACCAGGGTCTGTATACCTATCACCAGGGTCTATATACCCATCACCAGGGTTTGTATACCCATCACCAGGGTCTGTATAACTATCACCAGATTCTGTATACTTATCACCAGGGTCTATATACCCATCACCAGGGTCTGTATACCCATCACCAGGGTCTGTATACTTATCACCAGGGTCTGTATTACTATCACCAGGGTCTATATACCCATCACCAGGGTCTGTATACCTATCACCAGGGTCTGTATACCCATCACCAGGGTCTTTAAACCTATCACCAGGGTCTATATACCCATCACCAGGGTCTGTATACCTACCACCAGGGTCTGTATACCCATCACCAGGGTCTGTATACTTATCACCAGGGTCTGTATACCTATCACCAGGGTCTATATACCCATCACCAGGGTCTGTATACCCATCACCAGGGTCTGTATACCCATCACCAGGGTCTATATACCCATCACCAGGGTTTGTATACCCATCACCAGGGTCTGTATACCCATCACCAGGGTCTGTATACCTATCACCAGGGTCTCTTTACTTATCACCAGTGTCTGTATACCTATCACCAGGATCTGTATACCCATCACCAGTGTC